AGAAGTTGTAGATTCATTTCCACTAGATACTTCATGGTCAACGTCATCAGAATCCGAAGTATCGTCATTAGATGTAGCATACAACTTCAAGTTCTTTAAATTCACAACCTGAGTATCCAGTCTGAGTATCTCCTCATCTTGCTGTTTCTTTTCCCTTTGCAGCCTCATGTACGCCTCTTTGTATTTGTCCTCACTTGTTGGTGTAGCCATCCTTATGTGCGTATTGTACTCAATTTGTACCAATAAAGTATGATAGTAGTATACATACAACTAACCTATTTTTGTAACACCAGGTATAAGTTTAAAGATGTGTAAAATAATTTGAAACACCCTAGAGTTAAAGTATAACTATATATTAACAGAGTTAAAAATCTGCAACACCTGGTATAAGTTTATAATTGTATGAAATAAATAGGGACACCCTGTAGCAATAAGGATTGTAAGTGTATCTCTAATATAAACAGAGTTGGAAATGTGTAACACCAGGTAAGCTGTATGAAATAAATTGGAACACCCTGTAGCAATAAATATTGTAAGTGTATCTCTAATATAATCAGAGTTGGAAATGTGTAGCACCAGGTGAGCTGTATGAAATAAATTGGAACACCCTGTAGCAATAAATATTGTAAGTGTATCTCTAATATAAACAGAGTTGGAAATTTTAGGACACCCTGTATTTGTTGAGTAAAATCAAATTTGAGTAATCTTCTACAAGGTTTTTTTATGTTTGGGCAACCTGAGCCTAACTATGAAACCTAACCTAGCCTAAGTGAAAAAATTTTGATCACCTTGTGTTACCTTGAAGCTAATATTTAAAAACTACCCTGTACTTGAGATGATTTGATTTTTACACTAATACCGGCATGACACAGTTGCACATGTAAGGTTTACAATAACACTGGGGTACTTCATACACAAATACCTGCTTAAAATATACCTGGTCAGCAGTACATATATGCAAGACGATATAATACCTGTATGTACTTTAATATGAATTCAATAAATGGGGATAAACTGAAGTTCAATTATCAATGCACACTGAATCAGCAAGAATTAATACAGCTGTGTAGTACAGTGTCAATGTTTCTCAACCTGCAATCAGCTGATTTAGAACTTGGATAACTATCAGTTCAGTTGATCATAATTGTCGAATATCAAGAGTCAATAATGTACATGTGAATTTTCACCTTTTCAACCTAATTGTTAAATTGCTGAATATCAGAGTTCATGTGAATATCAATGTTCATGTACATTTTCACCTTTTCAACTTTAAAAATTGAATATCAGAGTTCATGTGAATATCAATGTTCATGTACATTTTCACCTTTTCAACTTTAAAAATTGAATATCAGAGTTCATGTAAATATCAATGTTCAACCTAATTGTTGAATTGCTGAATATCAGATCAGAGTTCATGTGAATATCAATGCTCAACCTAATTGTTGAATTGCTGAATATCAGAGTTCATGTGGATTTTCATGGATCGGGACCACTGTGACTTGTATTGTCAATCTGTAGGTTTTGGCTGTTCTAGTGTTCACATTTGAGGGTAACTCTGATATTGAATATCATGATAATCAATTATACATTACATATCTGTTGTTGACTTCGGGATGCTGCATATACAGTACATCTGTTATCATCTGTAACGTGATTGTCGATCTTAGTTGTCCAATCTTGGTTGTCGAATATCGGTTCAATCTCGGATATTGAATCTCGGTTGTGGAATCTCGAACCTGGAATCTCGGTTATCGAATCTCGAACCTGGAATCTCGGTTATCGAATCTCGAACCTGGAATCTCGGTTATCGAATCCCTGACATGGAATCTCGGTTGTGGAATCTCGGACCTGGAATCTCGGTTATCAAATCTCGGACATGGAGTCTCGGTTGTCTATCCCAGATATAGAATCTCGGTTGTTGGATTACAGTTCTTCTCTGGCTCTGCACTTTGTTGTTGTTGTTGTTAGCCCGCAGTACCATATGTGAACGACCGAACGACTAGATTTGTGGTGTACGTCAATTTATTCACTTTACAGAGCCAGAGGGGCTAGAAACAAATCATAACAAGCAATTACAATATAATAATAACATTGCATGAAATGGCATTGGCAAGGCTTATCAATATTACAGTACGAAATGGCATTGGCAAGGCTTATCAATATTACAGTACGAAATGGCATTGGCAAGTTTATTTGAAACACAATCTAATTTGACTATTTTACATTTGACAACATGAATGCTAACTTAATTGAATGTTTGGCATGTTAACTTACAGAACTGGCTCTTGCTTTGAGCTTGAGGGAAATGTGGGAACCAATGGTGGTGAATCTGTGGCCTAACACACTGCCTGAATAAAAATTACAATACATTTCTAAGTTGACAAAAATACCATAAATGATTGGTAAAATATCAGAAATATGTGTTGTATTTAATCAAGTAATATCTAATAAAGCATATAAAAGTAAAATAAAGAGTGGATGGCTTACCAATATGAATGATTGTGGATGATTTTGTAGATTTTCTGGAGAGGTAAAAATATATATGTGGCTATTGTAGTGACTGTAAGCAAGAGGAAGTTGCACATTTATGTGCCAGCTATTTATGTGAATTGAAACATGAAATCTATATAGTGCCATCTATAAATGCAACTATAAACTTTAAAGTGCAGTTGGTCACATTTGTAAAGAGTAGTTGTATGAAATAATTTTGTCACAAAAAATCTGCAAAAAATTATACCCGTCTTTTTTATTTTCACTTTTGAGCAACACCATGTGAGCCCAGTACCCACGGTACTAATTTTTTCAGTACTCTTGACTTTCTAGAAGGATACCATCAGATCGATCTTTCTCGGATTTTCAAAACGTCACAACTTCCGCACCAGAAGTCATATTGCAATTTGGTTTGCAGATTCTGATTCTTGAGAAAATTCTACCCTTATTTCATATCTCACACATTAGATTTGGAGAATTTTTTATTTTGACCTACTTTTCGGACACCATATCTCAGAAACGGGTCAAAATACTTTCTGAGGGCAAAGGCTATCACTATAAACTTAATTTAAGCTATCAATATACCAAATTTCGAAGAATGTTTTGAAAGTATAGTGTCAGAATTGCAAAAATAAGAAAAAACATTTGAAATAGATTTTGACCTAGGCATTTTGGTGACCTAATTTTGAATCTAGGTGGCTTTTGGGGTCCCCTTGTTTGAAGGGTTTCATTATATTAATCTATTAAATTATCTATATCTCTGTTTTTACAATTCATAAAAATCTTTTTTTCCCATTGAATTAACATGGGGCACCAAATTTAGCGATTTTTGAGCTTTCAAAACGCAATTACTTCTGAACCGGAGGTGAAATCAAAATTTGGTTTGCAGATTTGGATTCCTGGGAAAATTCTAGCGTTAATTCATAACTCATAGGTTAAATTTATAGAACTTTTTATTTTGACCTACTTTTGGACACCATATCTCAAAAGTGGATCGAAATACTTTCTGACGGCAAAAGGCTAACACTATTAGCACACTATTTGCTACCTGTATACAAATTTTTTAAGCAAATCATTGAAATGTAGTGTCAGAATTGCAAAAATAAGAATAAACTATGAATTTGACCTAGATTTTGATCTAGGGATTTTGGCTTTCATTATTTTAAGCTGTACTTAGTCTATATCTCGTATTTTACACTTCAAAAAATCTTTTTTTCCCATTGACATAACATGGGGCACCAAATTTAGCGATTTTTAAGCTTTCAAAATGTCATAATTTCCGAACTGGAAGTCGGATCGAAATTTGGTTTGCAGATTCGGATTCCTGAGGAAGTTCTATACTTAATTCATAACTCAACGTTAAATTTGGAGAATTTTTTATTTTGACCTACTTTTCGGACACCATATCTCAAAAGTGGGGCAAAATACTTTCTGACGGCAAAAGGCTAACCCTATTAACACATTCTTGGCTACATGTATACAAAATTTTGAAGAATATAATTAAAGTGTAGTGTCAGAATCACAAAAATAAGGAAAAACTTTGAATTTGACCTAGATTTTGACCTAAGCGCTAGGCTGGATTTAGACCTAGACTTGACTTGGACCTAGACCAACACTGGACTTGGACCTGGACTGGACCTTGACTTGGACCTGAAAATGGACTGGACCGGCACTTTTTCAAATTTTTCACTTTTCTTGACTTTCTATAAGGGTACCATCAGATCGATTTTTCTGGAACTTTCAAAACGTCATAACTCTTGAACCGGAAGTCGGATTTCAATTCGGTTTTCAGATTCGGAATCCTGAGAAAATTTCCTATAAGGCTGATACCCTGGACATTAAATTCGGAGAACTTTTTTTGGACCTCATTTTCGGACACTGATATCTCAAAATTGGTTCAAGATATCAAAAATCTAAATCGCATTGCGTTTTTCTACTTTTTTATGAGGAACACAATGAAAAAAACCCGGATCAAAAATATTGAAGGACGACCAAGATAATGGGAAAAAGTGACAAAGTACGGGATTTGACCTAGTTCTTGACCTTTGACCTAGATAAAAATTTGACCCCATTTCCCACCAACTAGATACTGTAGTTTAATTGACCATATAATTGTCTTGAATAGATACCTTATAGTTGTTGAGAAAACGTGGGCAGTATAATAAGAATAAAAAGAATAAACAAAAGAGGCAAAAACAATAGACTCCAGATTTCATCTGGAGTCTAATAAGAATAAGAAAACTGACGAAAACAATAGACTCCAGATTTCATCTGGAGTCTAATAAAGAAGAAGAAGAAGAAGAAGAATACTGACAAAAGTAATAGACTCCAGATTTACATCTGGAGTCTAATAATAATAAGAATACAGGCAAAAGCAATAGACTCCAGATTTTCAATCTGGAGTCTAATAATAAAAATACAGGCAAAAACAATAGACTCCAGATTTTCAATCTGGAGTCTAATAAAAGTAATATTCAATACAAAACTATGATTTTAAAAAATCTACCTACCACCTCAGATTTGAGTTTTTTCCATTCTTCAGTGTAGCTATAATCTTTATCAAATGAATCACTAAAGATTTTATCCAGTGTAAGCGGATTTACTTTAGCATCAGCTGCAGCAGCTTCAGAAAAACCTTGTATGATGGAATCTTCATGAGGAATATCATTATCTGCTAGCAAATACCTTATTGGTTGACCTCTACCTTTAAATGTAGCATATAATAGACTGAATATTCACTATTTTTTATTTGCTCACCAATAAATTCATATTTTCAGCCTGCCCAAATTTAGAACTTTAAAAGTAGACAACTTTAAAAGATAAGAAATTAGAAAAATCAAATGATGTACGTCACTTTAAGGAAGGTCTTCAGTCATCCTACGCATGTAATCATTGAATAATTTGAAACATCTGCATTAATCTCTTACCCTTGCAGTCAAAGTAAATGTGCTTCAAGATAGACACTGAAAAACATAAAAGATATATGCTAAGGTTACAGTACATGAATGCTAATTATTAAGGTGTTTGGTGAGGCTGATTGTGATTTTAATTTCCTATGTAAAACCTTCCCCACTACAAAATAACCTAGTATAGTACTATGTAAATGTTACCAGTTACAGTTTTTGTAGTCCAGTCCATAGTTACCACGCTATGTTAATGAAACATATGATTGATTCCATATTGGTAGTCCCTAGAATTTGTTTTGTTTTTTCCAAAAGTTGCCTTTTGTGCTCTCATGTAAAACGATGACAAATTATTTTACTCACTTTTCAGTCTTACAATATCACCTTTGCTGACTGAACCTCCTAGTAAGACAGACAGAAGTTTATGTTTTATCTATGGTGTTCAAGTGTCATTAAAATGATATTCAGATTGTCATCAATAATTGGACAATCATTGAATTAGGTCAACTTGACCTATATGATATAAATCAGTTTGACTTAACTCAATGTCCAAATCATACTCACTTGCACCAGTAGGGGTTAGCTTAAGTAAATGAGGGGGGGGGGGGGGGTAGGGTGAGAATAGAACATATGAAATGTATGGGGGAATAAATGAAATAGGATGGGAAGGGGAATCAAAGAGAAGAGAAATGCAAAAGTCAAGGCAGGTTGTATAGGTGGGATTGGGGGGATGTTAGTGCAATGAATAGGAAGGGAGTCAAGGCGATAGGTATGGGAATTGAGGTTAGGGGAGAGAAACAAGGAGAAGGGAGTCAAGGCGATGGGTATGGGAATTGAGGTTAAGGGAGAGAAACGAGGAGAAGGGAGACAAGGTGATGGGTATGGGAATTGAGGTTAGGGGATAGAAACAAGGAGAAGGGAGTCAAGGCAATGGGTATGGGAATTGAGGTTAGGGGATAGAAACAAGGAGAAGGGAGACAAGGTGATGGGTATGGGAATTGAGGTTAGGGGAGAGAAACAAGGAGAAGGGAGTCAAGGCAATGGGTATGGGAATTGAAGTTAGGGGATTGAAACAAGGAGAAGGGAGACAAGGTGATGGGTATGGGAATTGAGGTTAAGGGAGAGAAACAAGGAGAAGGGAGTCAAGGCGATGGGTATGGGAATTGAGGTTAGGGGAGAGAAACAAGGAAAGGGAGTCAAGGCAATGGGTATGGGAATTGAAGTTAGGGGATAGAAACAAGGAGAAGGGAGTCAAGGCAATGGGTATGGGAATTGAGGTTAGGGGAGAGAAACAAGGAGAAGGGAGACAAGGTGATGGGTATGGGAATTGAGGTTAGGGGAAAGAAACAAGGAGAAGGGAGACAAGGCAATGGGTATGGGAATTAAGGTTAGGGGAGAGAAACAAGGAGAAGGGAGACAAGGTGATGGGTATGGGAATTGAGGTTAGGGGAGAGAAACAAGGAGAAGGGAGTCAAGGCGATGGGTATGGGAATTGAGGTTAGGGGATAGAAACAAGGAGAAGGGAGTCAAGGCAATGGGTATGGGAATTGAGGTTAGGGGAGAAAAACAAGGAGAAGGGAGTCAAGGCAATGGGTATGGGAATTGAGGTAAGGGGATAGAAGCAAGGAGAAGGGAGACAAGGTGATGGGTATGGGAATTGAGGTTAGGGGAAGAGAAGAACAAGAAGGAGGTGTACAAGAAAGGAGACTAGGTAAACAGGTACAAAAAGGGAGTTGAGGCAATGGGTATGGGAATTGAAGTAAGTAGGGGAAGGGAAACAAGGAGAAGGGAGTTGGGGCGATGAATATGGAAATTGCAGTAGAGGGAAGAGGAACAAGAAGGGAGTCAAGGTGAGGAGAATCAATGGTAGGCAAACAGAATCAATAGAAGGAGAGGGTTCAAAGCATTGGAGAAAATGAGTAACATGAAATGAATGGAAAAGTGATCAAGGAGATAGTCAAGGCAGCGGAATGGAAACTTTGAAAACTATATATTGGCATTTGTGCCTACCCCAAGTATATAATGAATGCCATTTTACTTGATATGATGAGTCAACTACATGTTTTATTTATATTCACAGGAGAAGCATCTGCAGTTGCTGGATGTTGGAGCCTTGGATGAGAATTACCAGAAGTGGAAGTCTTGGATATGCGCTACAGCAATAGATCTGAATCCCCAATCTCCAGCTATTCTCCAGGCTGATTTCCTGGACTTTAAGGTGGGTAATCAGGATATTAAATATATACATGTATTATTCAATGAATTTGTTTCAACTGTTTCAGTTAGGCTTCTTGAAATATAATTCGATGAGGATATGTGATTCTAATTTGGTATAAGGGTGGAATGAATAGTATGCATATATACTTGGGACAAATACAGGGTGACCCAAAAAACAGAACCATCCATAATTTCTTTAATACATATCTTATCAGCTTCATTTTTTCATATTTAGATACTACACCCTGGGGATGACAATGTGAGACTAAATTCCTTACATAACATTTAATATTCTTCTTGCGTCCAAAATGTTACACATCATTTGTTGAGGAAGTGTCCTAGCAACCTTTAACCATCTTAAGTATGGCTGCACCTTCTGAGTGTTGTTTTGGAACAATGTTCAATGCAATCACACACAGTGCTCTCATACCTCATTCTAAGAACCATGTAGATATGAACGCTGATCATTTCTCCTTTCTTCCTCTTTCAACTCATTTTTAAATATTTGACTTTGATATTACATGTCAGGCAATGATTTTGACTGATCGTTCTGCTGTCTATATCGTTGATATTATCAAAAAGCGATGGTTGAAGGAAATATTTTCTTTTTTTAAATTACAGAAAGATGTCAGTCAAGTCTATGATGTGATTGTTCTGAGTCTTGTTCTGAATTTTGCTGGAGATCCAATCATACGTGGCAAAATGCTAAAGCAAGCCAGGAGACTGTGCAAAATTGATGGCCATGTCTTGGTAAGCATAAACATATATTTTTACTAGTATGACAGATTTGAGGGTGTATAACAGCAAAACCATCTCTTCCCCAATACAATTGATTACATGTACAATGTACTAGATACTGGGTTAATTGAATATATAAGATTGCCTGTTCAAGGCATTTCCTGTGTTCTTATATTTCCAGTTCATAATTTCATTTTTGACACATAGCATTATTATCAGATGAATTATCTTCATTTCTGTATCATGCTTAACACTTCCTTTATAAAAATACAAATACAAATTAGCATATTTTCCATGTTTTATTTATAGATTGTATTGCCCTTGCCTTGTGTGAAGAACTCTCGCTATATGACCCATGACCTATTGAAGGAAATAATGGTGTCTTTAGGCTTTACATGTATTGATTCACATGATAGTAAGAGGTTGGCATTCATGATGTTTAAGAAGTCAGCAGGAGCAGCAGTTACACACAAGTGAGTTAACAAAATAATCAATGAGGCCACACATGATAAAATTAATGTTACCACAAAAGTTTACATAATCATTGTCATATGATACTGGAATATGATGCAGTGATGGAAGAATGAAGTTACTTTGTTAAAGGGAAGTTTAGAATGATGATTTCATGAGTGAAGAATGTTAATTTTTTGGTACATTTAAGAGAAATTCAATTAATGTCTTCTAATTTCAAGATGGGGGTGAAGGGGACTGAACCGATAAAATGCCACATTTTCATGTCACCAACACAAGTGGTGACATATTGTTATTGTCTCTAACTTTTTTTGTGGCAATGGTTGGTGTTTGGCATTTGGTGGTTGATGTTCAATGTGTGTAACAAATGGCAGGTGGTGAGATTTTGCGAGCTAATGCGTTGTTTCAAGATATTTTAGTTATCCCAACGAACGAAGTTCGGTAGGGATATAGTGAAGCCCTCCGTCCGTCAGTCCGTCAGTCAGTCCGTCCGTCCGTCCGTCCGTCCGTCTGGAAGATAACTCAAATACGAGTTGACGGATTTTCTTCATATTTAGTGGAAAGATGTATATTGGTGAATAGTTGTACGCAAAAAAAAAATTTTTTCAAGATGGCCGCCACTTTAAAAATGACGGGACTTTTTCGCAAAAAACATAAATTTTCATTCTAAACCAAAGTAATTAATATTATTGTTTGAAATTTTGGTAGTATATTCGCAACATCTATCTATTTCACACATATTCCGTGTTTTTCATCCTGACCCCCAGGGGCTGTGTATGGGGGTCAGGAAAACAGTAATTTTCGCTAATTTTTAGATCTTTCTGAAGTATAGCTTTATTATACTCAAATGAAAGGCAATTAAGAGTAGATTGCAAATATTGTATCTTTTTTCTGATTCGAGCCTCGTAAAATTCAAAATGGCCGTCTAATGTACGATTTCGCAATAATTTTTCGATCCCTTCAAAGTATGGCTATATTATACTCAAATTTTGAATTTTGGAGTAGATCACAATTATGGTATTATTCTTCAGATTTGTACCTCAGAAAATTCAAAATGGCTGCTTTGCAGGAATTCGCAATTCTAAAATTTAAATTTTTCAATTTTAACCAAAGTAATGAGTATAATTGATTGGAATTCGGTAATTGATATTTTGTTCGTTGGGATTTGCTACTCCGCGGAGTTGCCATTGTCTAGTTTTCAACATATTTCTGAACTATCTTAACAGTTTCAATTCTATTAATGTAGAAAGATGCACATTATATTGTATGTAAATGCTCTGATTCATAAAAAAACTAAAAATTGCAACAAAAAAGTTTTTTACACATTTTTGGAAATAAAAAATGTCTACTCTGTAGACTGCAGGTCTATTTTAACGCATGTTGAAACAATGACGTAATGAGATTTGTATTGATTTTTCAGAGTGTTCCCAAAGAAGGAGATGAAAAATGGTGTCAAGATGAACAACTTTACCATTGTTATTAAATGAAAGAGAAATGTAGAGAGGGTGATTGGTCAGAAACTACAGGAGCCTCCACAAGTGAAGTGCAACTAGGATACCAGTGATGCTTTGACCAAAGTGCTAAAATGATTCTAGTGCTACTAAAGACTGAAGTGCTTTGGTGATTGTAGTGCTACTGTGACTTAAGTAATACAACAACAATGGTACATGATTCAAGTGCTGTATACTAGTGTATAGTGACTAAAGTGCAATAACAATGATTATACTGTGACTAAAGTGATTTAATCATTTTAGTGCATTTATGACTGAAGTACTACTATGATTCTAGTGATATTGTGTACAGAACGTGAACAGTAATTGCATTATTATATTCAAATCAAAGGTATTGGGTAGTAGATCATAAATATAGAATCATTTTGTTATCTTTTTTTTGCCATGGAAAACCAAAATTACTTTCCTTAGGGAATATGCAGAAATCTTCTTGAGATTCTACATAGCCTTTTACAAATTCATGAACATTTGATATTTTCAGTCTCTATTAGCATATTTGATATCTTGTTGTGAACAATTAATTGCTAAATATACTTCAATGATTGAGAAACAATTTATTGTATGTTGGGATTTGCTACTCAGCTGAGTTGCTGTTTTCTAGTTAATCTGTATTATTTGATTTGTGAACCAGATTACTGCAGGGTTCGTACACACCTGGAAATGTCAGGGAAATTGATTTATTTTTCCAGGTGCTGGAAATGTCAGGGAATTTTAAAATTGGGTCAAAAAGGGCCAAAAATGTCAGGGAATTTTGAAACAGTAGATGTGTCAGGGAAATGTCAGGGAATTTTGTATCAATGTTGAAAGAATAATGTTCCAGCAAAATACATTTTAGGGCTATGACAGGATATAAGTGAAATCCAAAATCATCTAGTTGTTTCCACAAATTGCAAATCTTTTCATTAGGGTTGGTTGAATGACATTAGATCTGGTATTGTCTATTTGTAAGAACAGTGTGAACATTACACTGAAACCGAACAATAAAAATAATGTATAGATGATTTAATACAATTATGCTTTTTTATGTAGTAAGCTTAGTCTTAGGCCATTCAAAGTTAATTACTGGTATATATTTCATGGTTTGATGAGGGGTTAATCTGAGGGGGGGGGACGGGAGGTGAAAAACAAAAAAAATTCAGGGAGCTTTTTACAATGTAAAATTGTATTTATATTAAGAAGCTGTCTGTTCGACAGTCCGATCGTACGTCAGTCTTTTCAACTTTCAGGGGCTTTGTCAATTTTGAAAACCTTAGCACATGGAAGTAGGCAACCAAAATGTGTGTGGGGTACTATTAACAGTTTTTGAATTTGGTCCAAATTTTTCTTCTTGTAAAGATGAACCCAGCATTTTACTTTGGCTCAAATTTTGTATGATGTAGCCTTAGGAACAAAGGACCTGCTCAAGAAGAAATATTCAAGATGGTCTCTGAATTCAAAATTGCCACCATTTTTTATGAAATATTTGATAATTTAAAGAAATTTGATTCCTGATAACACAAAATACTGATTATTTGATTTGGTATCATAGGCCTGAGCCTTTTCGTGATCTGGTGATGCTACTTGAGAAGGAATTTCTAATATGGTGTCAATTGTTTTGGTGTAATTTTCCCAAAAGGGAGAAGACAATAGTAATGCCAGGTTATTGCTAATAATGTTCACAATGATAGTATTCAATAGAAATATGTTTCATTAGGTGGGAATTGCCCCTCAAGTGAGTTGCTATTTTTTTGATACATGTTGGCTATGCCCCTGTACATGTATGTTTACCTTTGGCCTTATGCAATGTAAAATATGTAATATTAAAAATAAAATGTATCAGGAATAAATTGGTGAATAAGACTGCCTGTACAAGTAGTTAAGTCATGAGAAATGGTACTGAAGGAGAAACCCCAAATGTTTCATAATAAGTCTTTTTGTCTTGAATAATACAGTTTTTTGAGACTTTTTAGAGGGCGCGCGAGGAAAATTAGATCTGGAAATTTCCTTTTTTGCCTGGAAATGTCAGGGAATTGTCAGGGAAATTCATTTTGAAAAAGGTGTACGAACCCTGTACTGACATCTATGATATGTTACAAGGGATAAGAGTGTACTACATAATCCCCTCCATAAGTTTGGCAACCTTTTTCCTCATAGGCTTACGTGTTGAAGCCCCTGTATGTTTGTATTTTTATTTTCATAACCTGCAAAGTAAAAACTCACAATGAAGGTGGGGATGTAACTTGACTTTATTTCCAATACCTTCAAAGTTTTCCATTTTTTCCTCAATTACAATAGGTCAAAAATTGATGACAAATTTGATGAATTTTTGAAAATCGTCAATCCAATGTAAACCAATGGGAAATGGTGGGTTCAGGTTCAGGACAAATCAAATTTCAGGATACCTATTCAAGAAAACATCTAACAAAGATTATTTTTATTTAGAAAATAATATTCCTTTGGCATTGAGTTATAAGTTTTTTCTTTGCGGGTTATGAAAATAAAAATTCAAACAAAGAAAGACTTTAAAGGCCCCATATAAAGTTTAAACCACTTTGGCTTATATTGTAGTCTTACCCAATGTTATCAAAGTGTGATATGTGAAACTTTTTTTTTAAATTTCAAAAAGTGGTTTTTGATAGACTTTTTGTTCCAAAGTTTGTGAATTTATTTTAAACCAACTTTTAGAGGTCACTCATATCTACTAATTAGCCACAATTCATACCAATGTATAGCATTCTTCCCCCAATATTTTTTTCCGAAAATAACAAGAAAATCGGATCATAAATAAGCGAGAAATGAACTTATCAGTGCATGAAAATGGTTCTGAGAAAAACGCATTTCAAAATTTTAGTTCTCATAGAAACCAATGGTACAATGATATCTAAAACATAATTTGTTCTTCCTTTTAACCTGGTTAGACAATCAACATTGTTTTTTTATGAAAGTCTAACATATTTAGAAAAGATTGACATCGAAAAAAAAATTTCAATTTTTTTCAAAAATTTTTTGGTACCTTAGTGACATCACTAATGTTTCAAAATATTTTTGATATGCTAAAACATTGAAGTGGCCCATTAAATATGGCATTTTATTATTGAAATAGTGTGTCCTTTGTTAAATCTTTGCATTGGTGTTAAAAAGATAATTTTTTTGAAATGCATTAAGAAATATTTGATGATTAAGAAATTTCAACTTTTTTTGAAAAATGGCGGGAAATTTGAATATTTGAGAAATGAAATGCTCACAACTTTTTTGTTCAAAAATTTTTTTTGTTCAAAAATCTCTAAAATCACTTTTTAAGTCCTGACAAATAGCAAATGAATTATAAAAAAATATTTTCAAACTTTAGACGGGGACTTTAACAGTTAAGCCTATGGGGAAAAAAGGTTTTCAAACTTATGGAGGGGAGATTACTGTTGGATGTCCATCCCTTGTAGTCAAAATGATAGTAGATATCGTAGTAGGACAACTACATTGCATAGGGCTTGGCAGATGAAGTGAAGTGGACAATGAATAGTATAAATGATATTGAACGAATTTTAAACTCTCCTCCATAAGAGATAGATGTGCAACTTGTATGTTGAAACAGAATTCATTTGAGACTCTCTTCATCACTTTTGGGTCTTAACTCTAAAAAGGATGGCACAACTATAACTTTTTATTAATTATTTCTGGCTGTTGTGAATTCCAACTTTACCCTTTACTTTTTAAAGGTATCCATTTGAGACTTTCTACATCGCTTTCACTTTGATCTAAACTCAAAAGAAAATGGCACAACTTTAAACATGGGCTTTCATTATTACTGGTCAGAAAATGAGCTCAACATGTTGCTTGAAATGATATAAGCTTTGCAGCTTTGAATTTATTCCTAGAAATAGAGAAAATGAAAAAAAACTGTTTTAAAAAGTGATCCATTTTCCTTTTTACGACCACATTTTTTGTTTCAGATGATTTTTCAAAATTTCAAAGCTCCTATCATTTGGAGCAAAAATCCAAATATTCTGCTGAGAGACCTTTCTGAAATGTCAAAGGGTCACAAAGGCATGATAAGATTTTGCATTTATAATGTCACCACCAGAAGTGCTGACATATTGTTATAGTCTCCAATTTTTGGTGGACGGTGTTCGGCAGTCAGCATTACAAATGTTAGGCCTGTAACAAATTACAAGGTGGCATCATGTTAATGCTTTGTCATATTTGTTTTGATTAAACTAAACAATCACTTATAGTACTCTGAGATTTTAGCAATCAATTATCTGAGTTTTGTTACCAGAATAAGAATAGCTGCTGCCACGGCTCTGATCTAAGTAAAAACATTGATAGTCCCAACTCATCAGAGCCAGGGCAGCCCATCTAAGCTCCATCTGTCCTGGAGATCAAACTAATGGTATATGGTATTGTGTTATTATATTTCAGACAGAACAAGAAAGCTCATAGTGAAGTGATATCCACCTTACACAACTTGAACAAGGCAATTGAGTCTACCAAGGCAAATCCAAGTCTCACAAAGGCAGAGAAAGAAGCTCACATTAAAGAGCTGCAGAAAGATGTTGAAGAGGTAGTTACTATTTTTAGTGTTGTCGCGATTAATCGATACATCGCGATATACATCGCCAAAGCTGGTTCTGGCGATGCATCGATGTCTGAAACAAAACATCGATGTTTTTAAAAAATTTTAATTTGCTAAAAATCGCCCTTTCTTATCTTAGCCTATCTTATTTTGACGCAAATTGCTTACCTTTTTTCATGTCTTATTTCATTTTCAAATGTTTTCTGATATTCTTTCGCTTTAAAACTGTTTTAGCTCGTCGAAATGAACCATTAATCTAAAAAAATTACTTTACTTTCATTTCACCGTTACTATGTTTCCGGATGTACCAGCGTACTCTTATTAATTTGTTCTGTTCGATATTTTAGTGCATTAGCGTTCGGTATTTCTTTTTCTCGATGTACATCGCGATGTGCATCGATGTTTACTACTGAAAATTGCCGATGCATCGATGTACGATTATGGCACATCGTGACAACACTAACTATTTTTACAAATGTATCAATTAACAATAAAACACCAGGGGATAGGAATTTTTTTAATATACTTTTAAAATAATATTTTTATAATGCAAGTCATCAAGCCAATATACCAATGGAATATGTTGGAACCTCCAGAAACTTAACAATGTGGGGGACCTTCGTGAAACTGGAATATGAAGTTCTTGGCCTCATGAGAAGTTATTGGACTTCTTGTGGCATATGTGACCTTGCCCTATTGCAAGGTATGCCTTAAGGGCTGGTCATCTGGTCATTACCAGGTTACTTTTAATAATGAACAGTTGATTTTTTTCTCAAGGTAAAGGAAAATAACATTGCAACTGGTTTGTGGTGCTATTTAAACCAGCAGCTCTCAGGTCCTTGGGGCATACACTGCCCCACTGGTGTAAGTTGGGCTTAACTCTTTAACAAGTCCAAGTACTATATAAATCATCATCCTATTCAGTGATCTACCCAGGATTTTTTCTCAGGTGGGTGCAAGATTCTCATTTTCACAATTAAGACCAAAATTGGTCAAAATATGCCCGTTTTACTCATTTTCAAGTGTGTGCAAATGAATTTTGAGGTGGGTGCATGCCTGTTTTCAAAATCTCAGGTAGGTGCTGCGCCCACTTGCTTTAATGCTTGGGAGATCACTGCTATTGTTCATCAACAAGTGCCTTTATTGAATCATCATTAAGTACTGTTGTTGTAGGCTGGGGGCATTGCAGTGTATCAAGTGGCCTCTAAGAGAGGAGAAAGCAAGCATGGGAGTTTCAACTCTGCAAAATGGGTTGTCAAGACACTGAAAAAACACAAAGTGAAACCTGCTTCAGTTGAGGTAAGAATACTGGCATATCATCTCAAGTGTTTAAACAATTAATACTATACATGTAGTAATGTGGTGATTAAGATGTTTTTATATCCAATTCTAGAAGCAGTTTTATGGTAGAGGAAAATTTCAGAAAATGGTTGTTTGACATTACATTTAAAGGCACTTTACTTAAAGGCCCTATGTAAAGGGCCTAAGTCCATAGGTCTGATTAAAATTCAAAGTATGCATAGCAAATGAAATTAATGGGTTTTGTAACATTTATTTGATCTACTGTAAATTGCTTTAATTTGCCTGCTATTTAATTTAACAGTAACATATGGATATTGTAGGGCTAGCTAGTAATTCATGTGCCCAGGTTACGCTTGGGTGACACTTCAACAGGGAGGTTTTACCTTCATATATGAGCTAAGAAAAATGTAAAAAATGAGGTTACAATTAAAATATTGAAAGAATTCTCAATGAGACTTAAGGTCCCGGGGACTTTTTCAAAAAATTGGGGGAGACTTAATTTGGTTGTTCTTATCTATCCGCTAAATCAGCCAAATTAAAACGGCCATCAAATTAAAGCAATTTACAGTATCCAATAGATTACAGTTTATATTGTTATACTTTATAATTATTAAATCTAATCTTTTGTTGCAAATGTTTCTAAAATGTTCAATCAAAAGCATGAGAAATAAGTCATGTATTGTTGTATACATTGGAATCCTTGCCAGATTAGATAATCCTGCAACACAGGAAGGTCAGGGACTTATATGGTTCCTTTCCTCTCAACTCTGCTATCTTTGGTCTTGATAGAATTCTCTCCAGATAGGCCTTCAATAAAGGGTATGGTTCAAGGATTGTCGAATCTACTGCTAGACATGTGTCTAGGAAGTCGGCTATTTTGTAATCAGCAAAGGAAATCTTTTCTCCCACTAGAAATCCTGTTCCACCATTATTTTTCTCCAGTTCATTCTAAGATAGAAAGTTATATTTGGTAAGATTGCCTGTCTGATGCTATTGACCAATAGTTTTCAGCTTAGCTTGTATGGTTTAATTTTTGAGTCAATTAGAGAAAATAAATACGGGGCCAAAAATTTGCATTGCGAGTTGTCTAGATTAGAAATATGTTCAGCAGATACAGGTGTTTTACTGTTTTAAAAAACCTTATAGAGAGAAATATTTCATTGATTTGTGAACATTGAAAAGTTTTCTTGAGATGCATTAGTAATATACCATCTCAAACTCACCTCCAGAGGTCTGAGGTTATCTGGGAGGATGAACCTCACAAGCTTTTCTCTCTGGGTGGCATGCTATAAAAGCAAATTTAATTAAATTCAATAAATTCATGAAAGATATATGATTCTCAAGTAGTCTCGGAAATTGATGTAACAGTCCAGTCCTGGTGACTGGCTTTGATGTGAACTTACTTTTGTTTAGACTAAGTCTTTTAGATATATTTTGAACACTTCTAAACATGCTTTTATTTGATGTATATTAACATGTTCTTGACATATGGACTGACATTAATTCAGTTTGACAAGGGGTTTGGCATTAATTCAGATGAGAAGAGTTTTGGCATTAATTCAGTTTTAGAAGAGTTTTGGCATTAATTCAGATGAGAAGAGTTTTGGCATTAATTCAGATGAGAAGAGTTTTGGCATTAATTCAGTTTGACAAAAGTTTTGGCATTAATTCATTTTGAGAAGAGTTTTGGCATTAATTCATTTTGAGAAGGGTTTTGGCATTAATTCAGTTTGAGAAGAGTTTTGGCATTAATTCAGTTTGAGAAAAGTTTTGCCATTAATTCAGTTTGACAAGGGTTTTGGCATTAATTCAGTTTGACAAAAGTTTTGGCATTAATTCAGTTTGACAAGGGTTTTGGCATTAATTCAGTTAGAGAAGAGTTTTGGCATTAATTCAGTTTGAGAAGAGTTTTGGCATTAATTCAGATGAGAAGAGTTTTGGCATTAATTCAGTTTGACAAGGGTTTTGGCATTGATTCAGTTTGACAAGGGGTTTGGCATTAATTCAGATGAGAAGAGTTTTGGCATTAATTCCGTTTGACAAGGGTTTTGGCATTAATTCAGTTTGAGAAGAGTTTTGGCATTAATTTAGATGAGAAGAGTTTTGGCATTTATTCAGTTTGACAAAAATTTTGGCATTGATTCAGTTTGACAAGGGTTTTGGCATTAATTCAGTTTGAGAAGAGTTTTGGCATTAATTCGGTTTGAGAAGAGTTTTGGCATTTATTCAGTTTGACAAAAGTTTTGGCATTGATTCAGTTTGACAAGGGTTTTGGCATTAATTCAGATGAGAAGAGTTTTGGCATTAATTCAGTTTGACAAGAGTTTTAAAGTACATGTAGGTTTCAGATAAGTCCTTCCCTTAACACTGAATATTTCATCCAGATACAGTAACCTTATTTTAATCAAGTAATATCATATTCAGATCATAAATAGATTGAATATGTACTTACATAGTCACCATAAGCCCTCACATATATCTGCTCCCTCCCTTCGCTCTCATGCTCAATTAGAATATCTATCTGGGTAACATCATCTTCAGTTGTACCATACAGGTCATACTTCCTGGCCAGATAGCGCAAGATTGCATTGGTCTGTGATATCACTTGGCCCTCTGGGGTCTTGAGCACAGGTAACACATTGAATGGCTGGAGTATAAAACCTTTCAACATTGACCTGTATGATTTCAAATAACCCCACTGCTTTGAATGTTTGCAGGTTTGCAATAACGCAGATGCGAGTAGGTAGTTACCAGATTCACCACCAGGTGGCTCGTTCAGGTCAGATAGCATGGCGGGTATAGTAGAAAGTTCCCTTTAACTTAAATTACATCTATTTGCGTGGTTCAATTTTCATATAACCCTCATGTATCTAATAGTTATGCAAATGAAAATATGTCCAGTAAAAGAAAATGCTATCTGTCCAATACAAGAGAAGATAATTCACTTTTTGTGATTTTGTAACATGGGGTCTATGAGGAATCAACCCGAACAAGAAGTCACATTTTCAAAAAAAATTAAATTTTCAAAGCTGATAGACAATTTTCGAAAACATGTTTCTAGATGTACTTTTACATGCAGATTTCAAATATGACATCATTTTGACTGAATTTTGAATATTTAATAACGTAAATCAAGATTATTTCTACTCGCATCTAGTCTATTGCAATGTGTTAAAGAAACAGGCAGTGCTACTTTAAAGAATAGTTGTAATTTTGTAATTTATCAAATAGTTACGAAATTAAACTTTTTTTTACATTTGACAAATGATTGTTAATCCAGCTGATTAATAGGAACATATTTATCACCTTGACAACAGTCCAGGGAAAGTGGGGAAATTTATATAATTCAATAAAAAGAATTCTGGCTTCATTTTTCCAAATTTTTAGTCAGTAGATATCCTTTAAGATTAAAGCTATCTATATGATTTTCAAAAAAATGATTTACATGGTTCAGACTCAAAATATATGTTGTATCTGGGTATCATCATATTTGATCTTTCATTTGATATAAAGTACATTTTTAAATGATCAATCAAAACATTTTCCTGTGTTTTGTTCAATAGGGAAAATAAATGCATATGATATCGAGAGGGAAATGGTCTGGCAAGTGATGTCCATTGAGGAATTGACCAGTAGCGTGCATTTTTGAAAACCCGAGATTACCTAATAAGGAATGAAGTATTTTTTAGTTGAAGTCTGAAATGAGAATGTGATACTCAATCTTATAACATTTAGAATTGAACTATAATTCAAAACCAGATCACCAAAATATATTACAAAAACTCTTTCACAAAATACTCCAAGCCTGACGAGCATGCTCACTATTTCTTATATCAATGATATCATCCATACACTGCAGTGTTTATAATAAGACCAAGGTTCAAGATTAAGCTCAAAAATTACAGTTTGTTTGTAAAACATCTAACCAGGCCATTGAGGCCAACCTGTCTCAAGTGGATCATAAATTAAAGTAATATTCAATGCAAAACTATGATTTTAAGAAATCTACCTACCACCTCAGGTTTGAGTTTTTTCCATTCTTCACTGTAGCTATAATCTTTATCAAATGAATGGTTAAAGATTTTATCCAGTGTAATCGGATTTACTTTAGCATCAGCTTCAGCAGCTTCAGAAAAAACTGGTATGATGGAATCATCATGAGGAATATCATTATCTGCTAGCAGATACCTTATTGGTTGACCTCTACCTTTAAATATAGCATATAATAGACTGAATGTTTAGTATTTCTTGCTCACCTCTAAATTCGTATTTTCAGCCTGCCCAAATTTAGAACTTTCAAAGTAGACAACTTTAAAAGATAAGAAATTAGAAAAATCAATGATGTATGTCGCTTTAAGGAAGGTATTCAGTCATCCTATGCATGCAATCATTGAATAATTGAAACATCTGCAATTGCATTTATCTCTTACCCTTGCAGTCAAAGTAAATGTGCTTCAAGATAGACACTGAAAAACATAAAAAATATATGTAGCTGCTAAGGTTATAGTACATGAATGCTTATTATTAAGGTGTTTGGTGAGGCTGATAGTGATTATAATTTCTATGTAAAACCTTCCCTACTTCAAAATAACCTTGTATAGTGCTATGTAAATGTTAGCAGTTACAGTTTCTGTAGTCCAGTCCATGGTTACCACGGTATGTTAATGAAACATATTATTGATTCCATATTGGTAGACCCATAAGTTGCCTTTTGTACTCTCATGTAAAATGATGACAAATTATTTTACTCACTTTTAAGATTGACTCTTACACATTTGCTGACTGAACCTCCTAGTAAGACAGACAGAAGTTTGTACTTTTTGTTTTATGGTGTTCAAATGTCATTAAAATGTTATTCAGATTGTCACCAATAATTTGACAATCATTGAATTAAGTCAACCTGACTTATATGATATAAATCAGTTTGACTAAACTCAATGTCCAAATCATACTCACTTGCACCAGTAGGGGTTTGCTTTAGTGAATGAGGTGGGAATAGGGTGAGAATAGAACATATGAAATGTATGGGGGAATAAATGAAATAGGATGGGAAGGGGAATCAAAGAGAAGAGAAATGCAAAAGTCAAGGCAGGTTGTATAGGTGGGATTGGGGGAATGTTAATGCAACGAATAGGAAGGGAGTCAATGGGTATGGAAGTTGAGGCTAGGTAAACAGGTACAAAAAGGAGGTTGAGGCAATGGGTATGGGAATTGAGGGTAGGTAAACAGGTACAAAAAGGGAGTTGAGGCAATGGGTATGGGAATTGAGGGTAGGTAAACAGGTACAAAAAGGGAGTTGAGGCAATGGGTATGGGAATTGAGGCTAGGTAAACAGGTACAAAAAGGGAGTTGAGGCAATGGGTATGGGAATTGAGGCTAGGTAAACAGGTACAAAAAGGGAGTTGAGGCAATGGGTATGGGAATTGAGGCTAGGTAAACAGGTACAAAAAGGAGGTTGAGGCAATGGGTATGGGAATTGAGGCTAGGTAAACAGGTACAAAAAGGGAGTTGAGGCAATGGGTATGGGAATTGAGGCTAGGTAAACAGGTACAAAAAGGGAGTTGGGGCAATGGTTATGGGAATTGAGGCTAGGTAAACAGGTACAAAAAGGGAGTTAAGGCAATGGTTATGGGAATTGAAGTAAGTAGGGGAAGAGAAACAGGGAGAAGGGAGTTGGGGCGATGGATATGGAAGTTTTAGTAGAGGGAAGAGGAACAAGAAGGGAGTTGAGGTGAGGGGAATCAATTGTAGTCAAATGAATGGAAAAGTGATAAAGGAGAAAGTCAAGTCAGCGGAGTGGAAACTTTGAAAACTATATCTTGGCATTTGTGTCTACCCCAAGTACAGTACATAATGAGTGCAATTTTACTTGATATAATGAGTCAACTACAGGTTTTATTTATATTCACAGGAGAAGCATCTGCAGTTGCTGGATGTTGGAGCCTTGGATGAGAATTACCAGAAATGGAAGTCTTGGATATGCCCTACAGCAATAGATCTGAATCCCCAATCTCCAGCTATTCTCCAGGCTGATTTCCTAGACTTTAAGGTTAGTAATCAGGATATTAAATTATTCAATGAATTTGCTTCAACTTTTTCAGTTAGGCTTCTTGAAATATAATTCGCTGAGGATATATGATTTTAATTTGGTATAAGGGTGGAATGCAGGCCTGTCAACTGTCCCGCAATTTGCGTATTTGTCACGCATTTGCTGAAGAATTTGAAGTCACGCCAGTTATTTTTGCGTGACAGAAAATGTCACGCAAATACGCATTTTACCTGGTAATTGTCAAGCAAAAATATTTCTGTAGAAAAATTTCAAAAAAAGATCGTCTGCACAGCAAAAATACGAACGCCGGAAAAAATGTACGCATTTCGTTCGGACTTTTCACGCGAATTACGTATATGTCCCGCATTCCGTTCGAAAATTTTCGTACCTCCCCCCCCCCCCCCCGTTGATGGATGTTTGAAACGCGAGCGTAGCGATCGCGAAAAATTTGAGGTGTTCAAAATTTGGCAAGATGTAATAATATGGAAACCAAGGTGTTCAAAATTTGGATAAAGGTGTTCAGATTTGGACCAAGGTGTCCACATTTTGAGGGGAGGTGTTCAACATTTCCAAGTCACTCATGTTAGGTGTTCCCAAGTTGACAGGCCTGGGAATGTATAGTATAGTAGAATGCATATATACTTGGGATAAATACAGGGTGACCCCAAAAACAGAACCATCCATAATTTCTTTAATACATATCTTATCAGCTTCATTCCTTACATAACATTCAATATTCTTTTTGTTATGGTCAATTAAAAAATGTATCCACTTTTGACAGAAAAGAAAATGTTAAATTATCGTGGCATCCAAAATGTTACATATCATTTGTTAAGGAAGTGTTCCAGCAACCTTTAAACCATTTTAAGTATGGCTGGACCTTCTGAGTGTTGGAACAATGTTCAATGCAATCACACACAGTGCTCTCATACTTCATTCTAAGAACCATGTAGATAGGAACGCTGATCATTTCTCCTTTCTTCCTCTTTCAACTCATTTTTAAATATTTGACTTTGATATTACATGTCAGGCAATGATTTTGACTGATCATTCTGCTGTCTTAATCGTTGATTTTTGTCTCAATCATGTTTATTTCATGTTTGATGACCTGTAACCAGGGAGTCATGAATAGTGTTCCAGATTTGGTATCTGTACTTTCACATTTGAATAACGATAGATACAGATGGCATGTTCACTTTTATACTTTCATAGCATATTTTTCTGTATATTGTATTACTAGAAGTCACATACTGAATATCACCAGATTTCTTAGTTGTTTTACCTAGGCATTGCTAGTTGATTGCTTTTCAAATTTTCTTTGACATCTTTAACGTTAAACCAGTATACCCTCCTCAATTTGAATACATATTATCAAAAAGCGATGCACATATTAATATAAAAAAAGGTTGAAGGAAATATTTTCATTTTTAAATTACAGAAAGATGTCAGTCAAGTCTATGATGTGATTGTTCTGAGTCTTGTTCTGAATTTTGCTGGAGATCCAATCATACGTGGCAAAATGCTAAAGCAAGCCAGGAGACTATGCAAAATTGATGGCCATGTCTTGGTAAGCTTGAACATATATTTTTACTAGTATGACAGATTTGAGGGTCTATAACAGCAAAACCATCTCTTCCCCAATACAATTGATTACAGGCTTTGTATAAAAAACCTCCTACCCACGTACCCTCGTACCCACGTACGTGGGTCCTGATCCAGTCTTTAAAGAGTTAAATTTTTAAATGTTTAAAACATTATTCAATCTCAGTTTATCCTGAATTATAGATGAATTTATGCATCCATATGCCTTTATTTATAGGTCTGACATCTCTGTAGTAAAATAAAATAAAGCCGGTGTAAAAGGGTAGGAGGTCCTATCAAATTGGGAATGTACTAAAAACCCTTCGACCTACGACCCTTCGACCCTACGACTTACTGGGTGTCAAGAATTTTTGGAATATATTTTATTGAAAAACCCTTCGACCTCTGATTTCCCAGTCCAGTTTACTAAATGATTACGTATAGTTCCAACTTGAGCTCCCTGTGCACGCAAATACGCATTTTACCTGGTAATTGTCAAGCAAAAATGTTTCAGTAGAAAAATTTCTAAAAAAGTTCGTCTACACAGCAAAAATGCGAACGCCGAAAAAAAACGTACGCATTTCGTTCGGGATTTTCACGCGAATTACGTATATGTCACGCATTGCGTTATTTTACTTTTTTACTAAAACTTGAAAAGTAGTTGAACGATTTTGAGATCAAAAGTTCGATGGGATTTGCTCCACCTCGCGTTGCTGTTATCTAGTTCTGAAATGTTTCATATCGGAGTGGCTCCAGGACCGACAATTTTGTCGGTACTGAAGACTGTCCAGGGGTATTTGCTGGGGTACCGACAATTGTCGGCACTCTATCGTCACCTAGTAGTGCCAGATAGAGAACCGACAATTGTCTGGTAGCCTAGTGGTTAGGGAGCACGACATGAACACACTCGGTCCCGAGTTCGAATCCCGGCAGGACCTACTTTTTTCTTTTGAGGGGGCATAGTGCTTCTTTTGCAGTATTGAATCGTACAGGCATTAACTTGTAGTGAGCCATAATTTATTTCGACAAAAATTGAAGCTTACCCCCCATAGTGTAATATATCAAAATGCACCTGTCCATATAGGGGTTCGATTGACCTACATCAAATTATAGGGAGTCGGGTTACTTTTTGAGATATCAGCGTCCGTTTATTGTAACTTGCGTTTGCTACCACTTCCTCAATTCTGATATGACGGGCAAACGCGTAGTAAACATGCTCACGTTCGGAACTATTTTCACCTACATCGCTATTTTCGTAATTCAAATGAAAGTTGAACTCCTCTTTATTTTGATACCAAATAGTGGCATACTAGGTACCCTAGAAGCCAACTATGGGTTATTTAGAACGATACCACAGGTTTTTAAATGGACTATATAGGGGTCATACCTTTTGGCGGATGGATATGGAACCTCATACCATAAGCTTCAAATAAAAAACATTCTATGGCTATTTTCTTCTATCTAATGGGTAGCAAACGCCCCTTTCTACGCCTGATCGGCTCAGGAGAAATATCCTGTCTGTTTAGAATATATATAGCCGTTTACTCTGCATTAATAGCTCTCTTACGTCTTACTTGTTCATGTTTTTATGGGTTTTCAACGTTTACTACCATTCCCCGTTCCCGGGCTACCATTTTTTGACTGGGTTTGGTAATCCCCGGGTAACCGGGGCTAATGCCCTCCCCGGGTTTTGCACTTGTTCCCAAAATATCCGTATGATATCTGAAATATCCCCCCCGCGCATTGCGCATGCGCCAGAAAATTCGAAAATCAATATTTGTCGGTCCTCTAGCGTGTAAACACAGCATATCTCCCGTACCGACAATTTATTTGTCGGTCCTCTAGCGTGCCACCACATCAGAGTCTAGAGTACCGACAATTGTCGGTACTCTAGCCTTAGAACCTCGCATGCTTTGGATTTTGTAGGATGCAAAACAAAGAATCTACTTATTTAGTTGGCATTAGCGAGCATTCTTCCGCTAGACCACCGTGATTTTATGAATGGTGGGAGTAATTAAACGCTACTCATTTGAATGCTATGATTCGGAAGTGACGTCACGTTCTTCATTTAGAAACCTTTCCAAAATCATATCGCCGGCTCCGATCGAAGTCCAGCTTTAAATATCTTTAACTCTCTTGGGACAGATTCTTAAGTTCTATACACAAAGTAATATTTCCAGCAACTTCATATGGACTGAGAAATATCTAGAAGGTCGAAGGGTTTTTATAAAAATATATTTCAAAAATTCTTGACACGCTGTAAGTCGTAGGTCGCAGGGTCGAAGGGT